CACTATTAAACTAATATTAATATTATTTACAATAAACAATTAAATTAATATAATATTTTGTTAATTAAACTCAAAAAGATTAATATTTGATAAACAATTTGATTTTCTATTAAATTATTAATACATAAATTCATGTGATTTTTTGAGGGAATAACCTGGTCACTCTAAAAAAATCAGACGCGTCTGATTTTTGGCCAAGCCAAGTTTAATAATAACATTTATAGTGTATCACAATTCATTATAAATAAAATTTTGCCGTTCGTTAATTTAAACCATTATTATACATGTATATATTTTATCAAGCGATTATTTATTTAATAATCACATCTATTTATAATATAAATTTGCCGCTGATAACAGATTAAAATTAGTTAATTAGTAATAATCAATTAATAAATACACTTTTGCTGTCAATTATTACACTTCAATCGTTTTAAATTACAAACAAAAATGTCGTACACTTTGAACAACAATATTGTGGTGTTTATTGGGTTTGTATTAATCTTTCAATCATTTTTGGCAAATTGTGAGCCAAAGAGTGACTGCTTTAGAGCCGCAGTCTTTGAACACATACTTCAGGGAAACGGATCCACTGATGAGCCATCCATTATAATCCAGAAGAATCTCAATGTCATCAAACAGGCCGCCATCAAAGCCTCTGAAAATGTAGGACAATTTACTTAAACACGTGGTATTATTTCAAATTAATTTATTAATTATATCATTCAATATAAATAGGGGGCAAATATTCTGGTGTTTCCCGAATACTGTCTCATAGATCCCATGACTTCACGCAAAACTGTGGCCGCATATACCGAAACAATTCCCGACCCAAGACATGGATCGCATAATCCGTGCGCTAAGCCTTTGGAGTACAAGTCTAGTCCCGCGACACTCGCGTTGAGCTGTTTGGCCAAAGAGACCCACATGTATATTGTGGCCGATTATGGCGATCGCTATCAATGCAACGTCACATCAGATCCAAAGTGTCCCAAAGATGGCCACTATATGCACGACACGGCCGTGGCTTTTGACCCGAACGGTGCGATTGTGGCCAAGTATCACAAATCGCACACATGGTTTGAGTTTGAATACGACACTCCCCCTCCACAGGAGTTTGTATACTTTGACACACCTTTTGGTCGAATGGGTTTACAGATATGTTTTGATATATGGTTCAAAAACCCCGGCATTAAGAATGTGGCCAAATATGGTGTGCAAACAATGTTATTCCCGACCGATTGGTTCGATGAGCTGCCACTACAGTCGGCCAAACAGGTCCAGGAGAGTTGGGCTGTGGCCAATCGGGTCAACCTATTGGCCGCTAATCAATTAGATCCTCAAATGGGTAAGCATTTTAGAAAAGTAGCCTATTTTTAACCACTATTCTGATATGAATAATGTGGTTTATAGGATCGTTCGGCTACCCCCTCCCCCTCGTATAGCATCGCTGTGTGATCCTTGTTTATGCAATAAATACAATACTGTTGATGTAAAAATATAGGTACCCTCGGAAGCGGTATATATGCGGGACAAAACGGTGCGATCGTCTACACAAACATCACCACAAAAACGTCTAAACTCTTGATCGCAGACATACCGGTAGACAGTCGTAACCCCTCGGCCTCGTGTTTGAAACCCGACCATCGGTTTAACAAAACCATTTCATTTGAAACTTTGAAAACAGACGGCAAATACCAAATGATAGACAAAATGTACACAAAAGGGCATATGTTTAACAAATTGACTGCGAGTGAGAGCTCATCAGTGGTTTGTGATTCCGGTTTTTGTTGTCATCTAAACTATTCGCTCAAATCGGTTGACGACCTGAAGGGACAGTCGTTTTGGTGGTTTGTGGGCAACACTACTATCGGTCGTCCAATCGTTTTAGTATATCCCGTGTGTACCGAGATTTGCGGTGTCTTCCGGTGCGTTGACGACCGGTGCGAGTCTTTCCCGACCCATACTTCAGATCAAACTGTATTCAAATGGCTTCGACTGAGCGCTACGTTCAATACTAACACTACGTATCCGAGTCTCACGACTAATGACTTGGCTTTAGTTCCCAAACAGTATTGGGTTTACGAAAATCGGCAACAAATCAATGGCTCAGAAGTGAGTCTCGATTTAAACAATTACGACAAACCACTGCTGGCTATGGGTTTGTACGGCCGGTGTTTCAATCGCGACCTGCCTTTAGAACTGTAAATGTTTAGTAATTAACGTTTCTGCTTTCAACTCAATCAATATAATCTAATGAAATGTTCTGGGTAGATTTTGATTTTACTTCTTATAACATTGTAAAAAGAAATGTTAATATAATTTACGTTTTTATTATTTAATATTATTTATTATTAGTGTTTTAAATACTTTTTAAGTACGCAATAATGAATTGTGACTGAAATATATAGTCATTTGCATACAACGTTACAATATTTGTTTAAAATAAATATAACTTATGTGCTTAATAACCCTGTTAATTTATATATACCTGAATCATTAATATATATCATAATTTAAACACAAAATATAACTTTGAAAATAATTATGACACCTGATTTTGCTATTCCTAGTTCTTAAAGTGAGTTAGTTTTCCAGCAATATTTTATGTGATATTAAATAATTACCATACATTTAAAACAATCGATATGTCATTAAGTTTCTATCCTTTATATTATTATCATTTACAACACGATATGAAATAAAAATTAGTTTAGATTTATATATTTGTTGTGTAACTTTTTAACCACAATTCAGATATGAATAATGTGGTTTTTAGAATCGTTCGTCAGTAAAAAATAAGAAATTTTATCCTAATTTAATTTACTGTATACAAGAGAATACTTTTTTAAGCACATAATAATTAAATATAAAATAATTTATAATAGTATACATCTAATTTTTATGAGTAGGGCGTACTTATAATTATTAAAATTCACTATTATATGTACTATCACAATTAATTTATCATCTGTATTATAAAGTATGAAAGTTTTATTTTAATTGTTTAATTGCTAAAAACATTTATGACACCAATCCTTGTAACTGATGTACATTGTAATGATAACAGGGTTGTTTGCACAACATGGTTAACAAAATAATAATTAATATGTAGTGTAACTAAACGATTACAATTTGTGTTTCCAGAATATTGCGGTACAATTAAAGGTACAAAACAATGCATTTGTTATCAATTTGGATGAAAACCATACGAATTTGTAATAAAACATAATTGCACTCATAAAATTGTGCAAGACACTTTTGCTCAAGTTATATAAATCGTTTACATTTTCTAAAACATTATAACCTTATTGGTTTTGTTAAAATCAGTCAACAATGGATGTGGGCGCTAAAATTGTTACAAAATCACCATGGGACAATTCGAACATTTTTCAAAAGCTAGTATTTGCGTGAGTAACTATTTTATAACCTTTCAATTTTAATAAATTATAATAATTATACTATTGTATTATATTTGTGAAATATAATTTATAGAATATATGAGAAAAAAATAGACAAACTTTAAGAACAACAATTTTTTCTATGTTTTTTAAATGAAAAATTAATTAAACAAAAATGTCCCTTAAGTTTAAAGTTAGGACATATCTGTCTCATATTTAGTTGGCATCTAAATATACAGAACGTCCCCGATTTTGGCACACGCGATTTTAGCAGAATTCAAATTTAGCATAAGGTTTTGTTAGCACCAGCGAGTCATATTAGCACTGCTAATGAACCCGATTTTAGCAGAATTCAACTTTGGCACATCTTTTTTACAGCACCAATGACATGCCAAATTCGGGGCCGGACTGTAGTTATAATATGATGTTTATATTTTTAATTAATAAATTATATATTTAATTAAAACTTTATTCGCCTAGGTGGATCTATCCGTTATTTATAAAAGGTATGCGCAAAAATCGCGTCGATATAGAGGACATGTCCCGGTGCTCGCGATATGACGCGTCCAAGTTGTTGGTAGAAAATTTAGAAAGGTATATAATTTCAAATATATTTTATCTTTGCCATTTAAATGGTGTGTTAAAATATATTTATATTGTTAACTTTGTTAATTATGTATAATATACATATGTAATATATAATCATGGTTATTTTAACTAACATTATCAACACCATATAGACACTGGAATAGCGAGCTTAAGAAAAAATCCCCAAGATTGTACATGGCAATAATGAAAACATTTGCCAAATATCATTTCATTCCATTCATTTCATTTTTTATGATTGTGAGTAAGCATTAAACTATTAATTGTCTAATATGTAACAATGCATAAGAGTATATACAGAGTATATAAAGAATGTAGAATGCTTTACAGAATGTATAAATATAAAAACATTAATTTGTATATGGTAGGAGTGTGTGGTTCGTATGGGACAACCAATACTACTGGGGTTTGTACTCGATTATTTTGCTGACCAAGACCTTATAGGATATGACCATGCTTGTATGGCGGCCGGTGGTGTATGTCTGTGCACCATATTATTCATTACATTTTACCACTCTACTTTGGTGCGTTTTATGCAACTGGGAATGCGCGCCCGTAGCGCCTGCTGTACACTAATGTATAAAAAGGTTAGTTAATGTAAACTTTATTTATTATGACATAATACATTGTATTGTTATCATGTAAAATTAGTCACTCAAACTGAACCGGCTATCAATGGGCAAGACTACTGTGGGGCAGATTATAAACTTAATGTCCAACGATGCAAGTCGATTTGATGAGGTAAAATATAAACATTTAATTATCTAGTTAATTTCGCACTTTTTTGCTTTGGTGATAATGATTATTTTGTTTTAATAAAAAATTTAGACTGTTTTTGTTAAAAATTATATTAAATTGTTCTATTTAGCACGTATAGGTTTTTTGAAGTCCAACTAATAATCACCTTATGCACATAATTAATATAAACACTTTATATTATTTTTATTACAGTTCTCACTATTCGTGAGCTACTTTTTTATTGCGCCCATTCAGACGGGTATTACAATTTACATAATGTACACATATATGAACTGGCCCTGTTTTGTGTCCATGGTATTGATATTAGTGCTTATTGTATTTCAAATGTTCATGGGCAAATTGTTTTCAAAAGTTCGGTAAGAAATATACTTAACGCATAATGTCTAATTTACATAATTTAAATACAGTATAAGGCATTACATAATAATTTGTTAACTAGATTAATGACAGCTCAGTTGACAGACAATCGGCTCCGGCATATGGTTGAGATCATATCCGGTATGCGAGTCATCAAAATGTATTCCTGGGAACAGTCTTTCGCAGATCTCGTGGCTGAGGCACGAAAGTAAATGACCATAATTTATAGAAATTATAAGTTAAATAATTAATTACCATAAAAATAATTTTTCTATTATTTAGACGAGAAGTGTCATGTATACAACGATCATGCTTTCTAAAGGCGATCAATATGTCTCTATTTAGTATGGCTAATAAATTGATCTTGTTTGCCAGCTTTATTACTTTGGTACTCACCGGAGAAGTACTGACCGCTAAGGCTGTATTTGTATCGATGATGTTGTTTAATTACGTGAGAGTCAATATGACCTGGTATTTCCCGCAATCAATTGCGATGGGGGCCGAGTTATTGGTATCGTGTAATAGAATCCAGGTAATAATAAATATTAATATTAATAATATTTATTTATTTTTATTAAACAAAATTACGAAAATGTTAAATTATTTATTTATTGCAGAAATTTCTACAATTAGACGAAATCCAATTGAAAGTCATTCAAAATACAAATGTTTTAACAAAATGCGAAACAAATGGCAAACAATCGCCCGAAGTATCCATTAATAACATAACCGCCAAATGGAGTGATGTATAAAAATATATACTTTGGTTTTATTCACAAATATTGTGTTTAATTAAATGCCATTCATATCAATAGGAAAGTCCGTTTCCAACCCTTCAGNTTGTGTTTAATTAAATGCCATTCATATCAATAGGAAAGTCCGTTTCCAACCCTTCAGAATATTTCAGCACATTTAAGAGCCGGGGATTTATTGGCTGTGATCGGACCGGTGGGCGCCGGAAAGGTATACAAACTAATAATTTATAACTATTAGTTAAAATACTAATTAATTAATTTGATTTAGAGCTCATTACTAATGACAGTCTTGAATGAACTGCCGGTGCTGTCGGGGAGTATAAAAACCGTGGGATCGATAAGCTATGCCTCTCAGGAGCCCTGGAATTTCAATAATAGTGTTCAAAATAATATACTTTTTGGAGCCGAATATAACGAATCCCGATATAAACGAGTGGTAGAGGTGTGCGCTTTGGAGCGAGACTTTGAGATATTTCCGTTCGGAGACAAGACATTAGTCGGTGAGAGAGGGGTATCGCTATCGGGGGGACAGAAGGCCCGCATCACGTTAGCCAGGTTTGTGTGCAAATATTTATACATATTTACAGCAATTTCAAAAATATTGTGTTAATGTGATAATTAATACCGTTTGTTTGGTGACCACTAAATAATTCTATTACTCACAGTCATTATTTGTGATCAGTATACTATAATATTATAGTTTTATATTACAATAATGACTTTTTATAATAAATATATTACTATGATATAATTAATGGTTATTGATTTACCAAGATATTAATAGTATAAATATATAATACCAATATATGAATAGTAAATAAATTACAAAACAGTGGTTTAATGCTGGATACCACCAGATACCAAAAATTTGCTCTGTAGGAGATAACCCAAAATAACATATATTTTAATTTTATTTATATTTTAAAATTCTAAGGTTAAAACATTACAGGCTGCATTTATGTTTTATTTATGTATTTTTACTAAATGAATTGATTAATTAATTAGATTAAGTTTATTTTAAAAATATAATTTTAAATTTTAATAATTATAAATTAATCATTTTAAATATTTGTGTGTTATGTAGAGCTCTGTACCGAAACTCAGACATCGTATTAATGGACGACCCGTTGAGTGCTGTCGACACTAGTGTTGCCGAACATATATTTGATAAGTAATGCAATGATTGTTATAATTATGATTA